AATGATAAATTCAAATTTTATGAATATATTATTTTTGACCGCTATCGTAACAATCTATTTTCTGTTGTTAATAATTATTACAGTTTGAACCTGTTTTAAATTTTTCCTTTATCGCTGCAGTCGCAGAAAAGAGAAAACACACAAAAGCGATATCGTATTCACATGAATGCAAGACCCAAAATTTGAGTTTTTTCTGTGATTATCTTCACACTAGCAATTACCTCTAACGCATCGAGTTACTTAACCTAAATAATCCTAAACACGTGTGCTGAAGAGTTTTCGGACAAACAAACAATTATGGTAATTTATAAGAAGTGTTCTTAAAGTCAAACAGCGACATTCCATTAAATTTTTGCGTCTTCCAAGCGATATCCATGTTGATACAGTATAATTCCTCACCTGTTACTAAAATGTATCCAAATTCCGTTTGCGAGCCAACATCAATTTCTAGTGTATATTATACTACCTTATTGTTTGATTGTTCGAAAAGGTGCGCTTGAGCACACGTGTTTTCCCCCTGAAGGTCAACCTCAAAAAGGGTCGATTGATCTACACTCACAAAACCGTTTGTAGACTATTTCTCAACAGCCACTGAATCGAAACATCTGGACAAGTACATAATATCTTTTCTTTCTGCTTAGATACAGTGCCTGTCAAGAAGGCTTCCACAAAGTTTTGTATGCATCGTCGCTTCCAACATTAGCGACCCCCACAGTTTGAAACTGATTGCTCACACCTATAGATTGCAGGCTAATTTTTCTGCGGAGCCTAGCTTGCAGGTTATTTTTTACTGGAACAATGCACTCAATGCGGCGTCATATACAAACCATGCGCATCATCTCGACTGCGCAATGTGCGTGGGAATTAATCGCAGTTGAATTGCTATAACATGTTGCTGAGACTGGAAGGATGAAAGATATGCATGTCGAATTAAGATCAATCATCATTTGTGTTTCACTGATAGGAAGAACAAGATAAAACATTCGCGTCCGTGTTGTATCGGATATACAAACTCTCGCCTTCGGTTCATGTTTGAATATCCAATATAACACGACCACTCATGTTGTAAATACTACTTACTACTTTCGAAATATTTAAGTTTCAAAATATTTATGCGCAATATAGCCTATATTTATTATTAACTTTAATTATATTTATTATTTGCGTAATATTAACTTCAAAGTTCGTTTTCGGAATAAAACCATTGCAAATTAGGGACCGGTCATAAAGTAACTGCTAGGGTGGGCTGGAGTGATTTGGGATGGGCCATGGAAAATCTTTGGGCAGTTTCAATGGGCCGCCAATTTTTTTGTATGTCCACGGTTGGGCCACAAAAAAACCCCCATGCATGTCTACTTCAAAAAATAAAGATATTAATAATAAAAGTAAACAAAACTATCCAAATTATCAAATGCAAATGATGCTACTGAAGCCAGTACGTTGTTTATACAACAACAAGTGGTCGAATCACAGCAAATACAACCAACTGGAGAGCAGCTCAGTATCAACGTATTGGTCAAGCTTGGTGGAATTATGTATGTCAATACAGTGCCGTGTATATTTGCAATGTTCATACCTGCAAGTTTTTTTTTGTTATAAAAGTGTATTTTCCCAATTTAGATTGGGTGGGTCATGAAATTTTTTTTGTAAGATTAGATGGGCTTTGAAATTTTTATCTACATCGTAAGATGGGTCACCGAACTTATTGGCAAAATTTGTGATTTACCTCCAGCCCACCCTAGCAGTTACTTTATGACCAGTCCCTTATGCAATTCCGCTGTGAAATAAGCTTCGCTCTCGTTTTTTGGATAATATATATGGAAAAATAAAATTTCTGAACATAAACCTACACTGGTATTAGACGACAAATACTGTACGCTGTGTTTTATATTGTTAAAATACGTTTTATGTAGTATTTAAAACACGAAAAGGTGTGTACTATCATATTTAAAGCGCGAGGCACAGCCGAGCGTTTTAGATATGACAAAGCGCGAGTTCGAGTGTTTTGAATAGCTTAAAATACGACTACGAAAGAATACTAATTAGGATGAACAATTATATAATCATACTAATTAGGATGAACAATTGTATAAAGAATACTAATAAAGATGAGTTTTATCAGATATAAAGTCATTCCACGTGACATATTATGCTGACATGATTTGCCACAAGATTTATGAATTTTTAATGAGTATTTTAAACATATATATGTGTTTTATATTGGGCCACGATTTCCTGCAATGTATTGCGTGAACCATAACCACCCCCCCACCCCCACCCGTGATTAGGTAATGAACATTATACTTCGCTAATGTTTTCCTTTTCCCGGGTGAAAATAGCCAAGCGGAATTAATACCCTTGTCCCGCGTTTGCGCCCGGAACGGCGCAAAGCACCGTTGGTTCGGCAAATTTTGCCGTGAGCAAATCGGTAGCAACCAAACTTGAGAATTCCATGACAATAATTCCTAGGTTTCCGGAAACATTCCTTTACAATTACTTCATATGCCCGGCACGTTGTATCTGTCCATTTATGGTACAAATCGTTGATGCTCGGATACTTCGTAATAACTTCGGCTATAATATTCTGGCACGTACATCTGTCTATCAAAAATCGTGAAACGTCTGAGATAGGGCTTGAAAATGCCGGGAAAGCATTTGTATCAATGATGACGGGCAAAAATAGTGGCAAACAAATTATACAAGTTGATGTCTGAACAGGCTCTCCAGGAAGGGCGGACCAACACTCTCCGACGGAAATATTCAGTAAACCACCCGTCATTACTCTCAAGGCTAGCAACACAACAATCCATGGTTTACTCTAATTAAACAATTAAAATAAATCACTACAGGTATCTTACAGCAATTTAAAACCATGGCAAGTGTTCTTTTAAGAATTGAAGTAGAAATAAGCTTAAACAACGGCATAATTCATGTTTGACGGCAGTAATATTGTCTATTTATAAATGTCAAGCGAAGTACTGGATCCAAATGTACTGATTTTCGTACAAAATTCACCGGTGTTTCCCAGAGCCTCGGCGAGCCTCCGCATGCAGATGATTGCAGGCTCAGGATTCGAAATTGCATATTTTCAAGAATTATTTGGATTAAAAAGCAATTGGGACAGTTACAGGTGTTTAATGGATTATCGAGAACAAGATCAGTCAAATGCTCTTGGCAAACATTTGAGCATAGACAATGTGCTCACTCCTAAATGCAAATGGCGATAAAAATATACCAAAAAATGGTAATTTCCCCTTCTATATTATCTCTCTGATCTTGACCCGAATGACAACCCCATCACTAACCCTGAGACAAAAAAGCTTCATTTTCGATTAATAGGCACAAACATTCTGACGCTGTAATATATAATTTGCAAAGATTCTGTATTTTATTGACATATTGCCAGACACATCACAAAGCCAGACCAGCAAGTTCGTTGTTGATTTAGCAAATGTAAAACATTTTCCGTGTTGATATACAGTTATACCAACACGAATGGAAATAGGAAAACGCGAGAAATTGTGTGGAACGGAAGCGGAGTGTTTTCACCCAATTTCGAGTTTTCGCAATTTCCACGAGTGTTGCTATAACTATATATCAATAGGGAAAAAATGTTTTATATTTGTTTCATAGATTCATAAATTTTCCGACGTTTCCGTGTTGACATTGAGTTATATCAACACGGCTCTTAGCCAATCAGCGTTCAGAATTTACAAATGCTATATTAATATAAAACTATCTAATTGATAACTTTCCTTGAAAACTTTCCCTGAAAACCTTTGAATGGCAGCTGAGTAACTGTGTTACACAAAACAATCAATTTACAACCTTGAAAGCATTGCTGGCAACCTAAATTGACTTCTTCAACCTTTTTCGAAGTGCCTGCCGCTTAACCCGTCCTGCCTAAAAGTGAGGGGCAGTGGCGGCCCTATATAGCAAAGTCTTGATTTGTTTTTGCATTCGGCGAACGAGGAAAAGTTTAATCCAGCGCTGACAAAATGCGGGGTAAATAGGGTATATACTTGTTATTTATATTCATCATTTATTGTCATTCATATTCAACGTGATTATGTCACAATATTAAACAATCTAAGATCTATCTGATAAAATTATTCGACATGTAATTTCCGAAAATAATTCATTATTTAATTCATCATTAATTCATTATTCATACTTGAATAATGAGAGACCGTTAAGCGGTCAAAGGGGTCACAAAACGCAAATTTACCAAAGTTTGTTATATTGATGGTTGTTATATTCCAAGTGCCAAATGACAGCATCAAGTTACATCACATTAATTAAATCTTATAATGACGATCAAAACAAATCTTCAGTTTTGAGTTTTGTTATTTTCCCCACGGAAAGACAAATGAAATGCTGTCCGTTTTCTCCGTAAATTATCAATGTAATTTTGCCCGTTGACCTGCGAAATATAAACGTGACTGTTTCCCATTGGCAATGGTTGCGAGGAAACATTGTCATTTGTACACCGCTACTGGCGGGCTTTTTATTCATTTAAAAGCTTGCAGGAAAAACAAACATTGACACTTGGTATACAGTAGTTACTGAACAGTTCGGGGTCATCCGTTTTGATAAACGGGATTGGTTTAGCTATTTTTAATTGGTCTGGAAATACTCCTTTGCTAAAGGAAAGATTAATTATATGCAGTAAAGGGTTGGATATATACTTAAAAGAACTCTTAATAATATGCATGGTATATTGTCGAAACCCGGCGCGTTGCCGGATTTAAACATTATACAGGTCTGTTGAAGTTCTGGCAGAGTCGCAAGTTTTAATCAAATCGTTTCGTAATACTTGTACCTAAGCATGTTCGAAAAGATGTACTAATTGAAGGTATTTTATTTGCCAGATTGATACCGGTATTGGTAAATATTTGCAAAATTTGTCTGGGATTTCATTTGGATCAAAAACGATCCTGCCATCAATTTTAAATTGTGATGGGAGTGCTCGTTTCGATTCACTTCCACTTTCGTTCGTTTCACTTCCGATTTCGTATCAATTCCATTTGGCGATAACTGTCGCTTGTAAAGTCGCACTCCTGTCCAAAGAGCTTTAACCTGATATCAAGTGCCTGTTGACATGACTTCAGAGCAGAATCATAATCTTGCATTTCGCGCTGACATTCTGCAATGCAGTAATAGCTGTTAGCGGAGGTTGGGTGTTCCTTTCCATAGAGCGCCACCCTAATATCCCGGGCTTGCTGGAGCCAATGCAGCGCTGAATCGTACTCTTTCAAGAGATATTTTGTGAATCCAATATGATCAAAAACAAAGGAAACGTCTTGGTGGATTTTTCCATGAAAATTTTGTCTGATGGCAAGTGCTTGCTCGTACGATTGCAATGCTGTCTCGTAATCCCCTTTCGCAGATTGAGTATTTCCAATTACGAAAAAGGTGTTGGCGGTATCTGCATGGTTGTGCCCATAAAGCTCTAGTCTGATGCCTAGTGCTTCGTACTGACTTGTTAAAGCAGCGTCATAGTTATACTGTGTTGATAAAATGAATCCAATGTTACAGTACCTTGCGGCTGTATAAAATGAATCCAATGTTACAGCACCTTGCGGCTGTATACGGATTTAGCCAACCATATTCTTCTATAAAATTATCAAGGGCGAGCTGCATCGCTGCTGGACTCTTTTGCTCTATATTTACCTTAGCCAGGGTGTTTTCAACAATGAAGAGTAGTGGCAAGTATAGACGGTTGTTCTTTGCTTCGGCTTGCACTTCTTGCAGTAACTTGGAG